TCTCTCTCTCTCTCTCTCTCTCTCTCTCTCTCTCTCTCTCTCTCTCTCTCTCTCCCCCCCCCTCACACACACACACACTCATCCATGATTAAGTGTAATCTTTCTTTAAAGAAAAATAAAAATAACCACTATTAACAAGAATACACTTTTTAAAAACAGAATTCTACATACTAAATATCTTATAATAAATAACTCAATCTAGTTTTGTTTAAGGTAAAGATAGTTCTATGTTTTCATTTAAGTGTTGATAAGTTTTATTTTCATTCCTAGTGACTATTTTCAGATTATTTTTTCTTCTGTTTTAGGTGTTTAGTATTTACTTGTATCCAACTAAGTCACTTTTTCTGCTTCACACTTCCACTTTACCTTCAAATACAGAAGGAGAATTAGGACTAGAAATGCCCTGCATGGTGGCACACACCTGCAGTCTGAGCATGCAGAGAAGGAACTAAGGATCCTCACAGCTTGGGGTAGTTTGGTAAACACTGTAATTTTCTAGGCCAACCTGGATTATGCAGTAAGGACCTCCCACCCCACCCCCTCCCCAAACAAACACAAGAACACCAACCCAAACCCCAAACAAACAAAAACTGCCTCAAACTGGTACTAGGGGCACTTGCATATTGTTTGTAATCCCAGTACTTGGGAGGTAGAGGAGGAGGAGTTCAAAAATCTACAAACAAGCCGAAACCTAATGCTGAAATTTTTAGGCCTAGAAGATGTGGTTTGAGTCCTAGAGAGCTTTGCCTAGATGTCCCGGTGCCCTGGATCCCATGTCAGTTCTGCAACCCACCAAGATAATGTATGTTCTCACTTTGGAATTCCTGTGTACCTTGGAGTGACAGAGAATGTCTAATGTTGGAACTACAGATATTCAGTTACTACACTCATATATGCTTGTGTGTTGCTATTCTAGAAGGAAGACCTGGAATCCCAAGAACAGCTTCCCTCTCCTTCACCCCCCACTTCCCAGGTGGATGCTGCTATTGGGTTGCTAATGCCCCCTCTCCAGACCCCAGATAACCTCTCTGTTTTCTGTGACCACAATTACACTGTGGAAGACACAATGCACCAGAGGAAGAGGATCCTCCAGCTGGAGCAGCAGGTGGAAAAGCTCAGGAAGAAACTCAAGACGGCCCAGCAGCGGTGCCGGAGGCAGGAGAGGCAGCTGGAAAAGCTGAAGGAAGTGGTCCACTTTCAGAGAGAGAAGGACGACGCATCAGAGAGGGGCTATGTGATTCTACCAAATGACTACTTTGAAATTGTTGAAGTACCAGCATGAGCAGATGAGATGCCGTGGGGACAAGACTGTACACCTTCTTTTACCCTACATACAGGAGTCCATTTGAAAAAAATAACACCTAATTACTTGTATTAAAAAAACAATATTTTTTTAAAATAAATTAGATATATACTGTAAAATTGTAATTTTTTTGTTTGTAATCTCAGAGTTTCTACATTTTAACAAAATATTTTAAAAAATCCTTAAACCACCACTATAGTGTTGTATATTGGTTTCAAGATGGTGGATTGTTTTTCATTTGAGTATTTATAGAAATAATGTAAAAAAAAGTAGAGAGGGTAAGGTGTGGTAAAAATGATTTAAGTTTAAAAATTAATGCCCTTTTTGAGATAACTTATAATTTAAATCAGAAGTATAAGTGTGAGCATTGGACATAGCCTTTCAGAATATAAAGATGTACATACACACATTTTGTATTTATAGTCAGAGCTTCATTTATTTTTCTCAATCACTTAGCAAAAATGAACTGTCAAGCCAATATTTGAGGAAAACAATATTTTGCTGTCTTCAGAAAAATCATTCCATAGTTAATAGCTTCATAAAGAGTAGAGTTTTAAGAGTTGGTCCTGTCTTGTCCCTAGCTTTATGAAATTGGAAGTGTATCAGTGAAGTGAGAACTGGGGGCTGGGCTGGAGAGATGTTTCAGTGGGAGAAGCGGAGCACAAGCCTGACTACCTGAGTTTAACCCCTGAGACCCATGCAAAGGTGGACGGAGAGAACCACTCCACAGAGCTGCCTTCAGGCCCCCACAAGTGCTGTGGCAACTTTCTAAAATAAAAATTGGGAGCTGTTTCCTGATATGGTCTGATCATCCCCTAGCTAAAGGCACCTAATTCCACAGCTGTAGTTAAATCTGCATTCAGATCTCTGATAAATTATTTCTGTAGAGTTTGATTTGTACTATCATACGGTACCTTTGCCCTTAAGTATTTGATCATTTTACCCTCAACTGTTTGATTTTGGTCAAGACATTGCATAGAAAATATTTTTTTTCACTCTTAAGTTAGAAATTATATCCAATTTACTTCAAGTGACTTATGTTCAAAAGTAATGTGTTGTGTTTATGTCACTGTTGAGACTTAAATATTGCAGTTTCTGTTCACACTGTGGATTGTCTTCTAACTGTGAGAAAGCTTACATATATTTGATGAAAATGTGTTCTGAGTAAACAAGTGCTGATAAAAGAATTCTCTAGGTTTAGGAGAACCATATTTTATATTTCAGAGTACACTGTAGTTGAAGAGTAGCGGACCTTTCAAGACAGTATTAAAGATATGTTATCCCAGTATCTTGTGATCTGTTCTTTTCTTTGTGATTTACTACCACGCTGAGAACAGGTAGCACTTGGTTGTTTTTGTTTTGTTTTCTGAGATAGGGTTTCTCTGTGTAGCCTTGGCTGTCTTGTAACCTGCTCTGTAGATCAAACTCAGAGAGGTCCCCCTGCCTCTCTGCCTCCTAAATGCTGGGATTAAAGGTGTGTGCCACCACTGCCTGACAGCACTTTTAAATCATGTAAATTTGTTTGTTTTATAAATGTCTCTCATTTTGGTGCTGAAGATTGAAAATGCCCTAGAGCAGGCTACCACCAAGGTGGATCCCAAGTGTTCTCTCTCTCTCTCTCTCTCTCTCTCTCTCTCTCTCTCTCTCTCTCTCTCTCTCTCTCCTCTCTCTCTCTCTCTCTGTTGTTTTTGTTTTGAGACAGTCTCACCATGTGCCTCTATCCTGGAACTCAACTATGTAGACCAGGCTGGCCTCAAACTTATATCGGCTACATACCTCTGCCTCTGGAGAGCTGGGATTTAAAGTGTGTACGACCAAGTCTGGCCCCTATTATTAATTTTTAAAATATTCTATGTGGCTGGAGAGATGGCTCAGTGGTTAAGAAACTTAAAATTCTTTTTGAAGCCCTAAGTTTGGTTCCCAGTAACCACATGGCAGTTCAAAACCTCCTGTACTCTGGTTTCTGGTCTCAGACCAGGTTGCTTTCAAATTCACAGAAACCCACCTGCCTCTACCTCCTAAATGCAGGGATTAGAGATATTTGCATCATGCCTCCATGTCTGACCCAAGCCCTTTTGTTTCTTTGTTTTTGAGACCCAGTTTAGTTTTTAATTCCTGGCTGCCTTTGAATTCTGTAACCCTGGACTGTCCTGCTAACAATCCTGTCTCAGCCTCCCAAATGCTGGGTTACAAGTGTATTTCACTAGGCTTCATGTAGATCAGTATTTTAGAAATACAAAACCATTGGATTAGCCACAGTCTGTTAACTTGGCTTAGAATCAACTAAGGAATGGGAGTGTCTTCACTGGGCACTTGTGAGACCCAACTTTGTGCTCAACAAAAGAACGGCCTTTACAACAAGGGTATAAAAGATGGATTCTGTGCTGAAGTTACACTTGGATGATTGGCCCAGGAACACATAGTTAGATCTCTCCAAATACTATGAGGTAAAATTTTCCTAAGCTTTGTACCAACAGAACAAAGAAAGCCATCCATCAAGATATTTTTTTTTAAAAAAAAACTACATGGCCACATCAGGTAGGTGGGTTAGAACAAGAACTGAGAACTTGGCTGTGGGCCTTAGGTACTGTCTGGCAACACTTAGCCTTTTGATAGTGGAAAAGTAAGATTTTGTTAGTATATTGCAAAAGGATTTTTATGTTAGGATATTAGGTCTGGCATTGTGAGTCGCAATGTCCTGTGCAGGGTGAGAGCAAGGAATGGCTAATAAGGTAAGAGAGGCCAAGATAAATTGTGAGTAGCCTCTGGATATACAACATCTCAACATCTCCACATCATTGAACAGAAGCCTGACCAATCAGCTTTGCAGACATAGCTGCTTTCTAGGAGTTCTGGTTCACATGAAAAGATTCTAAGTCACCAACTCTGACATCTTTTGAAACATTCTTGAAAAGTATGTGGGCAAATACATTGCAAAGTGTGCTTTCAACCTAATTTCTGTTCTCTGTTCTCTCTCTCTCTCTCTCTCTCTCTCTCTCTCTCTCTCTCTCTCTCTGTGTGTGTGTGTGTGTGTGTGTGTCTGTAAATATGGTCCAGATCCAAGAACCCAAGTTAGATTATAAATGTAACCGTAACCACTTGCTGTCTTAGCACATCATTGAACCTGGAGTTACTTTCTGCTCATTCGAGAATGAGTTCTCATTTGGAAAGAACTGAGCAAGCTGTTTGTATTTCAATAATTTGTCGTAGCATAAGGAATTTGAGATGCGGGTACTTGTTTCTGAATTTTGAGCTGTGGAGTTTGTGGAACATTTTAAAAGTCATTTTATCTATAATATTCCTTATTGTACATGGGTCGCAGGCTTGTGGCCGCAACAAGCCAGGTCCTGCCACTCGATGCCAATAAGTCACTTAAAGGAGCTAAATTAATAGTGAAACCCAGGAAACAATTTATTCCGTGTGGCCACATTGAGAAGAGGGAGAAAGATCCATTAATTTTCCCAAGTCCATCTTAGAGTCCTGATCCTGACATGAGGGGGATTGAACACTCAGAAGGTCATTACCCAAGTCTGGCCCTTTAACTACTGTGTAATATTTAAATAAAGCTTGAGGAAAAACAAAATACTTCTAAATAAGCCTTGATTAGACATACATTTTTGTTTTTTGAGCCAGCATTTGTAATTGTTCATGGAGAAGAGCAGACCAATAGCCATTGGTTTAAGCAAAGCTTTGGCATCAATTAATTGAACTGTGACTCTCACAATTATACACATTGTCTCTAAATCTAGATTTTTCATATCTCAAATTACTTACCCAGATTTTCACAACTTGAATAAGCTTTCTAGTTTGGTTTTTTTATTATGGAAACATGCATTCATCTTTGCCTCCAAGTTCTGACTTACTAAAACTATTCCTGTTTTTAACATTCCTTTAACATGTCCTTTTATTTGCTGGTTTTCTCTCTTAATGCTAGGAGATATAACACTAACATAAATTTCCCATCGGTTGTGAGAAAATAACCAATGTCTGTTTCCTCTTCATTATGTCCCAATGGCAAACCAAGGTTCACTGTCACTCAAGGTCACCCTGGAGGACTGAACTTTGTAGAGCATGGTGAAGGGATGCCAAGGCAAGTGTGAGTGAGCTGGGAGCAGTCATCTAGAAAGTTTTCATCCACGTGAATGATGGCTTTCCCAAGGGCTGAGCCTATGTCCCTAGCCTTTCCTAGCCTGCTTAACATCCCCTGGCACCTCCCGAGCCCTTGAGATTCCGTGCAATTCACTTAAAGTTGCTTAAAACTGCCTGGGAGGAGAAGCTAGATACTCAGACGAGAGTCCAATAACCCTGCCCACTTCCTCTTTCTAGAAAGGTGGCTCAACAGTCAAATGCAGCTATGATGATCTTTTATAAGCAAACACAACTAGTTTTATGAAGATGTGCTGTAGACATTTTTTAAATCCCAATCCGGAGTTTCTACCCCGCCTTTGACCATTCAGTTCCTGGGTAAGAGACACACAACTTTTAATATTTACAATAAGCCTTAAACAGCACAAGAGCTGGGCAGATGGCTACCCTCTCTGCTTTTAGAATCTACTTTTCTATCGATAACCCCGAGTTATTACTTACCATGCTTCACCTGGGCTGCTCTTAACTCCAATTGGCCAGCCCTCAGGGCCTGTTTTCTTGACTCAACCATAGTGCCTTCTTTCTCCTCCTCACCTTCTCTCCCTCCAGGGGTTCCCCACAGACCCCAAGCCCAAGAATCCTAAACCCCACCTATTTCTCTTCTGCCCAGCTACTGGCTGTCTGCATCTATATTTACCAATCAGAAATAACTTGGGGGCAAGGTCACATACCAAAGTCACTAGGGACTCTGTATTGTGAGCTGAATGTAGCATTACAATACACAGAGCAAGACCAAAACCTCAACAAAGATGGCTTTTGTTTGGCTTAGAGGATCTTACTGTGCATAACAAAAAGTTGAATATGTGATAACTTTAATAAAAGGAAGCTGAATCCAAACAACAGACTGGATAACTTAACGAATTTATATTACCTGCGTGCATATCGCTAAACAATGGGGCTTTAAATTTTCTCGGGCAAACCTTACAGAAAACACTAGATACTCTTTGTAGTACGTGGGGTCATTTACGATAACTGTGCTTTTGGTTTGAAATGGGTATTTGTAGCAAATTTATGGATGAAGCAGACATGTGGCAGAACATCGCCAAATTGATGTTTATGACATCCTGGAAAACTCAGCAAGAAAGCCCTGTTGAAGCTAACAGTGGAGTTACCATTGGGGATATTAAAAGAGGAAATTCTATTACCTCCATAAATGAGTAGCTAGTTTTACTATGGACATCTTTATATCACGGAATAAATAGTGGTACACACAAAAGATAATGTTCCCTCACAAAACTGAGCTCATGGGACATTGGACAAGAGACTTGTTCAATCCAGTGACAACCGACTAGACCCAAAACACCTGTCTTCCTTGTACCCTGTATAGATTTGTTCAGATGATTATTATCACCTGTTGGGGCGTGCGATGGAAACAGACATTAACAAGAGACAGAACACGTGTATATATTAGAGTCTTATACATGGTAACAACACTTGGCTTTAAAGGGTCACTCTCTGATATCTTTAAACCTTATCACGAGTGAATGGCACTCAGTACCTATGATTGAGTGCAATCAAGCTGACAGAAGTAACTGCCTTGAAACATGTCTAACCTAAAACTCTCCCTGGACAGACTTGGGGTGACTAGCTGCTTGGAAACCTGTACCCACAATTAGTTTAGATATGCCTACAGAAGGAGGAAGACAACCTGAAGAACTTAATCGTCTTGTTCCTGTAAAGAGATCTAGTCGTAGCATAATCTAAAGATTATATGACAAGAAGATCTTGGTTCCTCTGAAGATTGAATCTCTAATATTCCCTTTAAGCATACCCATTTGCTGTTTTTCTTAATATATAGTCTGTAAGTCCATATTACATTTCTCAATCTAGATAGGAGGCAAGCACAGTAAAGCTAGGAATGACTGCATTTCCGTTTTTAAATAGGACTGCCTGTCAGCTTGCCTGGCTTATAAAAGCCACATTATAATTTACCACATGCAATCTTAAGTACGTGGTTAAGGACCTGTAATCTAAAAGGCGTGGTGGGGCAGAAACAAGGCAGACAACAAGTATGGGGCAATGGATTCTCAAGAAGGGAAGGAATACTCCATTCAGAGAAAAACAGACTTGGAGATGCAGGCAGAAGGAACAGGTATCAGGAGTCAGAATAGCCTGCACACCCAGCCTCCAGCACAAACGGAC